TTAATCCAAACTTTTCTTTCTTTAATTTTTCAGGTATTTTTGATCATTGTATGCAAAGAACCCAAATTTTGAAATTTGTTCCTTTTGGCCTAGAAATCGAAAAGACTTTTTGAAAACTTTAGAGGAAAAAATCAAAAAGTTTCTACTCCAAGTAAAATTATGACCTATCAACAAAGGGAAAAAACTAAGTCTTTGAGGGAATATATTGTCCCACTAATATAAGGCCTCCATTCTAGTATCCAAAGACCTCTTATTCAAGCGAACAACTTTGAAATAAGTCAACAATCATTCAAATGATTCAGATTTTTGTTCAGTTTAGGGATTTGCCTAATGATGATCCAAATGCTCATATTGTGAATTTTCTAGAAATTTGCGATACATTCACAACTAATGGTGTTATTGATGATGCTATAAGACGGAGACTTTTCCCTTTTCACTAAAGGATAAACAAAGAGTTGGTTAAATTCGCTTATTACTAGTTCCATTAATACTTGGGATGATTTGACTCAGAAATTCTTAGCAAAATTCTTTCCATATGCCAAGATAGCAAAGATAAGGAATGATATCATTTCTTTCAAGCAATTTCATTCTGAATCACTATATGAGGCTTGGAACAGGTGTAAGGATTTGTTAAGAAAGTGTCTTCACCGTAAATGACCTAAATGGCTACAAGTTCAAACCTTTTATAATGGTTAGCTGGGACCTATTAGAACTACCATTGATGCTATAGTTAGAGGTGCACATATGAGTAAATCCATTGATGAGGCTTATGATTTACTTGAAGATATGGCTTCAAATAGCTATCAATGGCCATTTGAAAGATTGAGGACAAGAAAAATTGCTAAAGTTCATGAATTAGATTTGATGAATTCTTTATCGACACAATTAGCTTCTCTCATGAAGAAAGTCGATAAATTGAGTGTTAATGTTGTTTAGAACCTTTTTGTGACATGTCTATTTTGTGGAGAAAGACTCCAATGACAATTGTCCCTTTTATTCTGAATTTCATCATTTGTTGGAAATAAGAAATAGCATAATCCCTATTCCAACACTTATAATCCTAGTTTGAGGAATCATACAAATTTCTCATGGAGCAACAACCAATGGTCTTCATTAGTATTTAAGTCAAACTTTCCCCCTGGATTTCCATTCAGAGCCTCCAAGCTAGAAAAAAAGCCTTCAATGGAGGAGATGTTATGCTATTCATGACACAAACTGATGCAATTATTCAAAGTCAAATAGCATCAATAAGAAATCTTGACACACAAGTGGGCCAACTTGCCAACGCTTTAAATAATAAACCTCATGGTACATTACCAAATGATACTAAACCTAACTAAAAAAAAAAAAAGGTAAAGAACATTGTAAGGTAATCAATCTTTGCAATGGCAAAAAGGTAAGTAAAAAGGTAACTAATAAAGCTTTAAATTCTGAAACTTCAATTCAATCTAATCTAAAAGAAACTAAAAAAGATGCTAAAAAAGAAATTATGTTTCAAAAATCTACAAAAAATTCAAAGGAAGAAAAATCACAATTAAAATCTGCTCCCACACCTTCACCACCTTTTCCTCAAAGGTTTCCAAAAGAAAAACTTGACGAACAATTTCAAAGATTTATTTATGCGTTTAAAAAGTTACATACTAATATTCCTTTTGTTGAAACTCTAGAACAAATGCCAAGTTATGTTAAATTCTTAAAAGACATCTTATCTAAAAAGAGGAAATTGGGCGAGCTTGAAACTCTTGCACTTACTGAAGATTGTAGTACTATTATTTAGAATAAACTTTCACCAAAACTTAAAGATCTAGGTAGTTTTACTTTTCTTTACACTATTGGTGCTCTTTGTTCTGCTAAAACTTTATGTGATTTGGATGCAATCATAAATTTGATGCCATTGTCCATTTATAAAAAATTGGGTTTGGAAGAGATTAAGCCAACTTATGTGACTGTACAACTTGCTAATCAATCCATCACCTATCCTTAAGGTATTGTAAAAGATGTTTGGGTAAAAGTTGATAAGTTTATTTTTCTAGTATATTTTATTATTCTTGATATACAAAAAGATTGTGAAATACCAATCATTCTTGGAAGACCATTCTTGAGAATTACTTAAGCTCTGATTGATGTGCAAAAAAGTGAGCTTAGTTTAACAGTTAAAGATCAATAGGTAACATTTAATACTTTTAAAGCTTTAAAATTTTCCAATGAACATAAAGAATGGTTCTCAATTAATCTGGTGGATGATATTACTAATAATGTGTTTATTGAGAATCTTCACGATGATCCACTTAAACATCTTTGATTTCTTCATGTGATATTATGGATAAAAAAGTTCTTGAATGTGCTAACCATCTTGATGCCCCATCACATCTCTCAAAATCCCAATTTGAGTCTTTGAAATTATCAATTACAACTTCACCAATCAAGCCTTCCATTGAAGAACTTCCTTCACTTGAACTCAAACCACTACCTAATCATTTAAGGATTTTCCTTTTTTTTGGGAAATTCTTCTACACTACCAGTAATTATTTCTTCTTTTCTTTCTGATAAATAGGAAAATAAGCTCCTTCAAGTTTTAAGAGATTACCAAAAAGCAATTAGGTGGACCATTACAGACATCAAAGGAATTAGTCCATCTATATGCATGCACAAAATTGTTTTGGAAGAAAATCGCAAAGCAACCATTGAACATCAACGAAGGGTGAATCAGATCATGAAAGAAGTAGTAAAGAAAGAAATTATTAAATGACTAGAGGCAAGTATTATCTATCCTATTTCTAATAGTTCATGAGTAAGTCCAGTTCAACATGTCCCCAAGAAAAGAGGCATGACTGTAGTTTCTAATGAAAATAATGTACTCATTTCCATTAGAACTGTGACTGTAAGGAGGGTATGTATAGACTATAAAAAATTGAATAAAGCCAGTAGAAAAGATCACTTTTCGCTCATTTTTATTGATCAAATACTTAATAGACTAGCAGGTAAAGATTTTTACTACTTTTTGGATGGCCATTTGGTTATAATCAAATCGGCACTGCTCTTGAAGATAAAAAAAAAACACATTTACTTGTCTTTATAGAACTATTGTTTTTCGTATAATGCCTTTTGGACTTTGCAATGCTCCAACCATTTTTCAGAGATGTATGATGGTAATTTTTTTTTATATGGTTGAATAGTTTTTGAAAGTATTTATGGATGATTTTTTAGTTTTTGGGGATAATTTTGATGATTTTCTATTTAATTGTACTAGAGTACTTAAGAGATATAAAGAAAGTAATTTAGTTTTAAATTGGAAAAAATATCACTTTATGGTGCAAGATGACATAGTCTTAGGTCATCGAATCTCTAGTGAAGGTTTAGCAGCAGAAAAGCAAAACTTGAAACAATTGAAAATTATCCACGTCCCACCTCTATGAAAGGCATTCGTAGTTTTTTAGGACATGCTAAATTTTATAGAAGATTCATTAGAGATTTTCTAAAATTTTTAAAACACTTTGTAATTTGTCAGAAAATTATACTCCTTTTAATTTTGATGATGCTTGCCATGATGCTTTTGTTGAATTAAAAAAGAGATTAATTAATACTCCTATTATCACTGTTCTTGATTGAAATCTTCCTTTTGAACTAATGTATAATGCTAGTAATTATACAATTGACGTAGTTTTAGGCCAACGAAAAGTGAAGATTTTGCATCTTATTTATTATGCTAGCAAAACGTTGAATGAGGCTCAAGCAAATTACATCACCACTAAAAAGGAGTTGCTTGCTATTGTTTTTGCTATTGATAAATTTTGCTCTTATCTTATTAGTACTAAAGTAATTGTTTACACTAAGCATGTAGCTATTAAATATCTAATCAAGAAAAAAGATGTAAAACCACCCTTGATAAGATAGGTCTTTTTGCTTCAAGAATTCGACTTGGAAATTCAAGATAGGAAAGGTACAAAAAATCAAGTGACAGATCATTTATCCAGATTGGAGAATGGAGAACAAGTTGGGAAGTCAACAATGATTAATGAGACTTTTCTTGATGAGAAATTGTTCATGTAGAAAAGCAAAAAAATTTGCCATGGTATACTGATTTTGTGAACTATCTTATGAGTAAACTCTTCCATCCTGGATTTAATTCTCAACAAAATAAAAATTCTTGAGTGATGTTAAATATTACATGTAGGATGAGCCTTTTCTTTACAAGCATTGTGGAGATCAAAATAATTAGAAAGTGTATTCTTGAAGAATAATTCGAAAATATTTTTCACCATTGCCATTTATCTAATTACAGGAGACATTATGATGGAAGACGAACTACTACAAAGGTTCTATAATCAAGTTTTTATTGACCTTCTTTCTTCAAAGATGTTTATAATTTTGTTGAAAGATGTGATAAATGTCAAAGAATGAAAAATATATCTAGATGACATGAGATGCCTCTCAACATCTTGGAAGTCAGCACAGTTAACAGCACAATGTTTGCAAAGCAAATCCCAATTAACAGCACAATATCCCAATGTTTGTAGTCAATTAACAACGCATTGTCAACATAAAAAACCTAACAATTAGCAACATATTGTTTACATTTTCCATTTTCCACAAATTCTAAACAACACATTGTTCGCAAACAAAATTGTCAATTAACAGCACAAATAATTAAACAAAACTAACAGTTAACATGTAATTTTTTATTTTGTCATCTAATTAGCAAAACCAAATACCTACAACTAGCAAAAAATTAAAACCTTAATCCCTAAACCAAAGGCTTAAACCCTAAACCAGCAAGAATGAAGAGGTTAAACCGGTAGAAAGCTAACCTCTTAAGGTAGCTAAAACTGAAGAACAACTGATGAGATTCAATGGGGAATGAGTCAGACGAGAGGCGTCGATCAAAGGGGATAAG